AAAGAGTTAATAAACACTGGGGGGAATAAAAGGAGTGAGAGAAATATTCCTCAGCAAATGAAGACTGAGTCTCAGGCAGCCATGCCTACCCTGTCAAATCTTATTACTAAGACACTTTACCTGTATTATAAAATTGGTTCTGTACATTCTCTAATGAAGGGATTATTTTAAGGCTGTGAGCATTTGGGCAGGAATAAGAGCCTGGTGCTGAGAGAGAGACATCTGTAATGAGAGATTTTAAATCAGGATACATTATTAATGAACTGCACAGGAGACACACAAACCTGCTTTATTGGGCAAACTGTAAATGAGCCTATTTGGTAAGAACATGCAAAATGTGTGTGTGCTGAGAGAGGATATTTTGAGAATCTAACTAATTTCTGAATAGTAAAGGCATCCAGTCTGGCTATAATTGGTGCCTGTGGCAATTGTTGATACCCTGACTACATTAGCTTTCTGTGCCCTTTAGCAGAATTGGGAAAACATTTCTAGTACTCGTTAAGCTGTCTATTATCAAGACTTCATAAATATACACATTTAGAATAGATGATTTGCTATCCCAGTGCCTTAGAGCACTTAAATAAATTAGTTCCTACTATTTCAGGCATTAATTTTGCAGTAATTATGCATGAAGCAATACTGCAATTAAAATTGCCTTCCAACTTGCTCGGGTTGGAATATTTTTTGAAAATAATACTTGATCTTTTCTCAAAATATACTCTAGAGCAGGTGGATGGGCTGGGTGGCTCAAAACAGCAGTGCAGGACTGTTCTACCTTGAGATCTTTGGCATGCCTGCAGCTGAAGTCAATATTAACCAAGTATTACCATCTGTTGGCTTTTGCTGACCCCTGATTTATTTCCCTCTCCTCTTTCTCTAGTGGCAAAGTGCCCACATCACAGCTGGCATCAAGTGCTTCAGCAGTGGGGTTTCTTATTTAAAGAGTGCGGCCACACTTCAAGGCAGGAACCATGGGCTAGTTTTCAGTTTGCAACATGTTCCAGTTTCTTTTTGCACAGTACCTACTGGTTTCGCATGTTTGCAATATTTGCTGTAATAAAGCACAGCAATATATTGACCCAGATTTCAGCCTTAGGTCTGAATCTCTTTACTTTTAAATTGGACCTCTTTTTCCTTGGGAGAAAAATTTATATTTTGTAGCTGAGTTACAAATAAGCTTTTCCAGCTTTTTGGCAGCTAGGTAATAGTTAAAGTGAAAAGATTTCTTTTTTTCCAGCCAGAAAAGGGGTTTAATAACTTTGGGTCCATTTGTTCATAGCAGTACTGGAGCTGAGCCTTGCAAACCCCTGGAGCTTGGCAAGCCAGGCAGACTTGGCAAGTTTTCCTACCAGCTTACCGAGTCTGAGTCAAGCATAGGTTCTTGCAGCTTCAAATGTATTTAGTACATTTTGTTAACAGGAACGTTGAAGTGGAGGGTTTTTTTCCCTTTGCTGACCCTAAAGTATACCATACTCTCTTTACAAACAGCTGGTCCTTAAACCATACATGACAGTTTATGGCTAGTGTAAAATTTAAAATAATATATTTTAAGCAGAGTATCTGATTTACTCTTGACACAAATGTGAATTTGTGGCAAAACCAAGCATACCTGTTTAATTTTCAGTGTGTCATAACAGCAACAACTTTTACCTTCTGTTTGCAGCCTGTGGTGCACACAGACATACATAAGTGTTGGGAATGTTTATTCTTCTAATTTTCATCTGTATGGATCCTGCCAAAAGAAGAAGAGTTCAAATTGGACTTTGGAAATGGCAGAACACTGAGCTTCCTAAATCTCAGTTCTTCCCTAGCCAAATTATATCAGCCTTGAAATAAGAAGAAAACTTCTCTATAGGAAATTCTGTCAGTGTTGAAAGATGCTGCAAAAGACTAAAAATAGTGACGCCAGATATCTGCTTACCCCAGTCAGACACATCTGTTCTATAGTAATTGACTCACCTCAAGGTGGTTTTAGCAGGGTCTTTAATGAATTGTGCATCACAGTTGTGGTAGGTAGTACCTTTCAAGTAGAAAGAATTGGGCTATTGAGTGGATATTTTTCACTTGTACTTTGACAGTCTGTCTGCTGCTTTGTAAGGTGTCCCAACAGCTATGCTTTTCACAAATTTTATGTGATTCTATCGGTATTGCTAATATTTTTGTTGGGAAATGAATCTAAGATGTTAGATTTGCCTGGTTTAGGGCTTGCCTTCTAGCCATGGGCCAGCTACAGAAAGTCTGGCTGCTTTGTTTTCCCCTCTTGATGGAAAATCAGCAATGTCTGTTGCTGGAGGACTAGTTGTGGGAGGCTATGGTTTCAGAAAGCAATTGTTTCCTAAGTAGCGTGAGCCAATGTTATGAAAGGCCTCATCATTTGCTACCAAACCTTTGAAGTTTGCTTTGCCTAGTGGGATCTAGAAAACTGAGCACAATCTGAGGTTGCCAACTAAGACAGGCTTCTGATTTGTGACCTATTTATGGTTTCTAGAATTGCTGCCTTCATTCATCGTTGCAATTAATTGCCTGGAGATGATAAATGCCTACATCATTATTGCTAAATATCTGGGAGTATGCTTTTTTAAAACTCTGATTCTTCCTAGAAGAAACTCTCCAGTTCCTGACTTGACAGTCCCAAATTAATTGTGGCTTCTCTTTTGGACCTCAGGCTTTCTACCAAAGATCTTTCTTATGTTTCGTTTGAAGAGCTGACTTATACAACTGGCTGAAACACTGCAAGGTTGAGAGTGCGACTGGTCAGTGTGCTACCTCAGGCCATGAAGAGCGAGATTTAGAGAGTATTCTTTCAAGGTTTCAATACAGAGGAAGTGATGATAAAAAGTTGGGATGTAGAGTATTTCTTCTGTCCTTTTTCTGGACAGCTCTGGTGGGGTGAATGCTTAAATGCTTATTTAATTTAATACATATTTGACAGTGTGAAAGTAAGAGGCACTTTTTTTAGGAAACCTAAGAAATATTTTGCAGTATATACTAGGCTGGTGCCTTTTCAGTTAAGTGGTAATGGAGTGAAGCTGGTGGCCCTTAAGAAAGCTTACAGGGGCACTGTAAACAACAAACTGCAAGAAGGGCAGCAGGTATGAAGTGCAAACTTCAGAATAATATATTGTGAAATAAATAGAAATGCCCTACTAGAAAGAGCAGATGAAGGTTTAAAAAATGAAATAAGTTTCCTTAAAAAAGGAAGTAAGTTAAAATAGCTGACCTACTGTGCAAGGCCTGGCTCTAAACAGATGAGTTGGGATCAATGTCATTGCTTCTTACTTGAACACTGAGAGTGCATTAGAACTGATGATTAATTTTAAACAAGAATGGCAATATAATAGCTGTAAGAACAACTGTAGAGGGTCAGAATAAGACCTCAACTAACCCAGTCTCTGATTTGTGAGCAGTGATAGTTCTCTGGCGTACTCATCTGGTGTCCAGCTTTCCTTCTGTGATTTTTTCCGGATTGCCTTTTGCATCCACAGCATCATTTAGCAGACATTTCCGTAGATCAGCCATGTATTGTGTGAAAAGGTTTCACTTTTTCCTTTTGTGTAGCCTGTTGATTTCATGTCTTGCAGCAGCGCCTATTCGAACAGCTATTTTTTATTCTTGACAATCTTGTAAATATTTTAATCTTCCATTAAGTTGCCTCTGTCCCATGCTAAGGAGTCTTAGTCTGTTTAGAAATTGCATCCGTGAAAACAGCAGTAGATCTTGGTGCCGTCTCATTTTCTTCTCGTTGTCTTTCCCCGTTATTCTGTTCATTTTGGGAGGGAGCAGAGAAGAGATCAGATGACGTACAGTTAAGTAAATGCTATCTGAAGTGTTTTGCTGGGCACTAGTACTGCACCAGTGACACCAGAGAACAAACGATGCTGGTAGGAGAGTGCTACCATGTGAATGACAGAATGGTGTCAGAAAAGACACCTGGCAAAGTGCCGTGGGCTCTCAGGGAGTGAGAAGGGAATAAGCTTGGTTGTCACTTCACTGCTCTCTAATACCTAGTGCATCCAGTGCAATGTGAACTTGTGAACTAAATGAAACACAGGATATGCTGCTGTTATTCTTCCAGTTCCAAATTTACTTGGAAAAAGATAATTTTTCCCCTTCTAATTATATTCTTTCCTAAGCTTCTTTCAGTGCCCACTGACTGAGAAACTTTGTTCCAGCCCAGTAAAGCAGTTCAGACTTAATAAAGGTGCTTAAGCAAGATTAGGAGGCTCAAGGAAGTTGGGTCCAAGGAAACGCTCAGAAAAGTTTACCTGTGCAGTGAAGCTTACAGCTGTTTCCTGGGATCGTGGCATTACAGAATCTGTTTGAAGGCAACTTGAAGCCCATATAGTCCAACCTCTTGTTTAAAGTAGGGTGAACATTAAATGCAAACCAAATTGCTCATGGCTTGCCCAGTTGGGCAAGTTTTGTAAGCTTGTAAAAGAATGGAGACTCCCCAACCTCTTTGTGCAATCTCTTCCAATTTTAATTGTTAACTTGTGGGTTTATTAAATAATTATGTTTGCATCATTTTGACAATAAAATTGTCATATAATCATGATAATGTGACTGACAAGCAGATATCACTGCAATTCTGGGACTATAAAAATAGGACACAAGCAGAGCATCCATCAAAACACACCTTGAAAATTCTAATCTTTGCTGACCGTGATGGAAATGAGGTTGGTTTCTGGCTTCAGGCGTGTTAATTTGCCAGTGTTAAGGATGTTGAAATAGTTTGAGGCCACGTATTTATTTTTTTTTTAGAGTAGTGATGCAAGTATAGCAAATTGCTCCATCACCTGAGTATTTTATTTTAAACAAGGAGTACTCAGTCAGTATTTAAAGCGTAAGACTTGAGAGTAACTGCTTGGCACTCCTGATAATTGTTTTTAGAGCATGACAAGGAACTGTCTCCGGATAGTGGTCTGATCCTTCTCTATTTTAAATGGAAACATGTACTGCAGTAGTAATCTAAAGCTTTTTGTAACTTTTCTCTTTTCCAGCTTTGGTTTGCTTTCGTTAATGGATTTTCTGGGCAGATTTTATTTGAGCGATGGTGCATTGGTCTGTATAACGTGGTAAGTGTTGCATGTTTTGACTTGGTAATGCTGGGGACTTGTATATTATTTTGTTGTGCCCCATTTTTCACAGGTACCTGTCATAGACATATGTCAGGGAAGGTGAGTTCATTTGTAAAAGCCATTTTGAATCCACTTTGAGGTAAGAAAGAAATAATCTAAAATTATGCTTTTATTGCAAAAATAAATTTGGGCGAATGCCTTGAAAATAGATGATTAGCCTAATGTAACCTGCATAAAACTCTGCAGATTTTTAGATAGAATTTAATTTCTTATTTCAAAGCATCTTCAGTCTTTTGTACTGAATATTTTGCTGATGTTTCTTAAACAAAATATAGAGTCCTAGTCTTTGAGTTTTGATTAATTTTTTTTCTCTCAGACCCCATAGGAGTTAGATGCTCAGATAAGTGTCATGCAGATGCTTTGGGTTGACTCATGATACATTAGGTACAGAAAGAGAAGTAGCATCACTGTGTAACCAGCATTTTTCACTTGAACCAAGGGCAGGATATGTTAGTCTGTGAGTGATTTCTGATTTTGACTGCGGTCTGCAGAATGCCACACTGTGCTGTATGACTTGATTACTTTAATCAGTAATATTTTTTAATCAATCACATTAATTAAAATCTGAAAGATCTCTGAAACCAAGTTTCATAGCATACCATACACCTGTGTTGGCATTTGACAGTGTTACCTTTGTAATGTTACCACTGAGTGGCCTGGTGCATGAATATATAAGTCATTAGGACGCTGTCAGTGTTGAAGGGTCCTTTGGATTTCTCTTTGCAGGGAGGAAATTTAATTTTTTTCTTTAAGAAACTCATTCCAAATATATGCTAATATAGAAAAAAACCAGAAAATTATCACTGAGTAGTATTAACAGAAACACTTAACTTCTGTCACATTAATTTTAAAAATGATGACACAAACCCTCATATTTCATAAAATTTCATACTCTTAGTGGAAGATATTTATTCAAGGATTTATCATTCTCTTGATTCTCTTCACCCTAATTTCCTGACTGTTACTCAGTCTCTGTCATTCGTATTTAGATATTTGCATCTATTATCTTTAAACTTCATTTGATGAATCTACCTACCCTACCTAAAGCTTCTGGATAAAACTCATCTTCTGTAACCAGTGAAGGAGAAATTAAACCTTGTTTTGTAAGCTTAATATTTTCTAAAATTAGAACTGGTTGTGTGGACTTTTGAAGAGTCAAGTGCTAGTAGGTTATTAGGGACTTCTGCAGTTTGAAGAGGTTAGATTTTGAAATGCTTTTAGATCTGTCATTCTCTTCTGTGCAGATTAACCCTTTCTTACATTAGTAGTCTCACATTAAAATATGAAGTGTATGAAATCACAGTAGCATTATAATTCCTGATTTTGTCCTGGAGGTTTGCTTTCATAAGCAGAACCATTAGAAGATTTACTTCAAGTGAGAACATAAATGCCCCAATAAGCGTAGGAAAGCTGGCAAAATACATTAAAACTGTATCAGAACATCCTTCTTTGAAATATATTGGATCAGTGGTCTTTGTTTCAGTTCGCTACCCCCAGTCTGCTGCCGTTTTCACCATCTGGTTTATCACTTTATGAGCAAAAGATGCACAATTCCCACTGGATCTAGGGTTGTAATTACTGATTCTCACTAGTCTCTATTCCTCTGTGTTGTTCTTTGTCCCTGACTGGCAGCTCGCTCCTGGTGGGAACCACAGCCCGACTTTTGCAGATAAGCATACACACTCGAAACAGTTCATAACTCCAAGCTGCTTCCTAACCTCAAGAACATTTCTCAAACTGTTAAAAATATATGTATGTATAAGATTAGTACTAATGTTTCTGACATAAACTGTTAACGTACAAGGAATTGAATGGAGTTTAGTATTCAGACTTACACAGTGGTGTTATTTTCAGTCTGTGCTTGCACTGCAGACTTCAAGAAACATGGATACCCAAGCTGGCTTTAAATGAGCTGCCTCAGATCCTGGAAACACTTTAAGAGCAGCAAAGTCAAAGTCAGTGGAGGCTAATTTACTCTGCTTCTGGCAAAGCGTCCTGCTGCCTCTCTTGGAAAGCTTCCGAGGCTTGGTCATCTAAGAGTCTGCCCATAGCACAGACATACACTGCAGTTAATTTGTTCCTATCGGTTCATACCTGCCAAGGGAATCCCCAAAGTACCGTAATGCAGGATGGCCTTTGTTTTTCAGTAGATTTTTTTTTTTTTTAATGTGATTTCCACGTTTGCTTTGTCTGTAAACTTAGCTTTGATTAAATATATTACATATTTAATTATGGCAACAACTGCAGCTATATTGGAACCCATTCTCACGCGACTATTTTGTAAAAATACTTGTTGTCTTTCCTTTGCAGTCTGATGTGTTTGATCCTCGCTAGATTAGCTGCTACATCAGAAAATAATGATGCTTGACTTCTTCTTGGATTTGAGCCTATTGGTTAAATATACTAATTTTATTTCGTGTTTCTTTTGTTCATAAGTCAATGTTTGAGAGTTATGAATTGCTGAAATTCATGTTTAGACTTGTTTGGACCACTGAAAATTGTCAAATAACAAGTAGTAGTAAGTCTTCAGTGAAGTCTGGGAACTTTGCTGTTTTCTAGGTAATGAAATATTATCTGAGATCCATTTAAAACTAATAACTGCTTTTAATTAGTATTTGCTTTCTTTGCAGATTTTTACAGCGCTGCCACCCTTTACTCTGGGAATTTTTGAAAGATCATGTACTCAAGATAGCATGCTTAGATTTCCACAGCTATACAAAATTACTCAAAATGCAGATGGTTTCAACACAAGGGTAAGGGAAAGGCTAATTCTTTAAGAACAACTGTGGACATTCTTATTTTCCAGATTTTTCTTGTTAGAAAAGAACTTGTTTCCCACTGTTACTTCTGCTTTATGCTAACCACTAAGATGAGGATGGTTTTGCCTCCCAGTTCTTTTCAAGAATATTTCAATTTTCGAGAATTTTTTAACTAAATTTAAAAAAAGTACTGTATTATAAATAAGGCTTTTCTGCTATGGCTTCAGCTGAAACTGGTCTTGAAATATTCATAAACTTTCATTTGAAGTAAGATTTGTATCAGAGTATGATTTTTCAATTCTCAACTGCTGATAAATAATGGATTTACCACTTCCAAAGGAACTGGATAACATTACCTGGATTTTATTTAATATACATGTTTTCATAAGACTCTCTGCTAGGGTGCTTTTTCACAGCTTTAGTATACCTCCATTCCAGTAGTTCTTTTGGTAAATAAAATGTGAATTGGTTTATTCAGTCTTCTGACTTTTGAAGAATGCTTTTTACTTCATTTTGCTATTTAAATGCTGGAAAGTGTCAGCATTTGGTATTTCGCCTTTATTCTGAAACAAGCACATCTCCATTTACTTCTGAATCAAGGAAACTGTGCATTTGATTTATTTGAAGACAAAATTGTAGAGTACATAAAGCTCTAGTTTGTACGGAGCTGTCATTATCTTGAAGTCAAAAACTATGGGGCACAAAGTATTTGTTCATTAAAGGAAAACTAAATCAATCTTTGAAGATCACTCTTTGAGGTAATTAAAGAAGGTTCACTCCATCCGTCTGCTGTATTTTGATAAAGATCCTAAATTGCAAGCGTGCTTGCCTATTATGTTTTAAGATGGTAGAATAAAATGATCAAACTGGACCAGTGTTTTTCTTGTGAAAAACCGGAAATTATAGGAAGAAAGAGATCCTGCAGACGTTTAGGTATTTCACTTCAGGACAAACATTGTCTGATGCTAAACTACACAATGAAGTGTTTGTTGGGAGTTAGAGAGAGGTCAAGAGTTTTGGACTTTACTGATGGCTTGGTTTGTTTTCCCTCAGGTTTTCTGGGGTCACTGCATCAATGCCCTCATCCATTCCATCATTCTTTTCTGGTTTCCACTGAAAGTGCTGGAGCATGGTAAGGGCTTCTTTATTTCTTATGTCAGAAACTGATGTTCAGTGTTACAGAACCAGTGCGTTTGCAGAACACGGGGTCATGACAAGTCCCAAGAAAATAATGCTGACAGACAGTTAGTAGTCTGTAGCTGCTGAACTTTGCGAGTTACCTCATGGCTTTCAGAAATTATTCTAATTTAACATAATTTGTGTTTATTTAGTGACTTTAGTATGTGGAAAATGAAGCTGTTACTTTCCAAAATTTTACCCAAATACTCAATAATGTTTTCTAAAATGCTTTTTTTCTTTTTTCTTTGGTAGCGGGTTGATACCTCAACTTCTAACTGTGTAGTGTTCTTAGAGCAGCTGCCTTACAACTGTTTGCTTTGTATCTTGTTGGACCTTTCCTATTCAGTAACACAGTACTGTAAAAAGGAGGATGAAAGAGAGATTTCACTACTATTTAAGTCTTGGGGGGAAAAAAATTAATTGGCAGAAATGGAAGTAAAGCAGATCGAGAGCCAGAGATATCAGGGAAATGAGACTTTTTGTTATACGAATTAGTGTTATTAAGTCTTGCTTTTCATGACAGGTAATAATGTAACCACATGGTATTTCAGAGACCAGTAAATCCCATATGGTTCCTACCTAGCAATATAGTTATGTGGGAGGGAAAAACCATGGGAAATCTGTTCTTTTACTGTAGTAAGAAGTAGTAGGACTAGATCAGATTAAGAATTTAGGGGTGATGATGAAGGGAATAGTATTTATCTAAAATAACAATTTTTTCAAAAGTGAAACTCTTTCCTGGAAAACACTGTTTTCAAGAAAGTTTTCTCAGCTCCAGGATGGATTAAGTGGGGAAGAGTTGAAAGAAATGGAAAGGGAGGAAAGATGAATGCTCACATCAGAGGCATGATGGTAAAGATACTTGTGGGAGTCAGGTTCATGTTTCTCTATCTGGCTGAGTAAAATGTTAATATAGTATCCTCAGTGGGAGCTTCACATGCTGTCTGATGGACCATATAAAGAAGGGACTTCCCTTTCCTCCACGTGTGCGCTGGGGGAAGGTTCAGTTTTGTGGCAGAGGGGTTTTTATGGTTGAAGGATTTTTGTTTTTATTTGAGAGGTTTTGTTGTTCTGTTTCACTGTTTTTATGAGAAATGTTAATCTGGAATAGCTCCTCTTAAAATCCATCTTCAGAAATTTTAGGTTGACATCTGTAGTGGTAACAGCTAAAGAAAATTACAGGTTTTGTTTTATTCTACTGTAGATATTCTCTGATTCCTAAATAGATAATGTACTTCTCATTTCAGCAATCAGTGCTGAAATACCAGGCAAACTTTGAGTTCCTTTGAATGGGTTGGTTAACTTGCTTTCCAGAGAGGAATGAATATTGAATTTTCAAGTTTCTTTGCATTTCCAAGTGCAAAAGGGTTTTCAGTGCCGGAGACAAAAATGTGCCGTTCACACTGGGACGTTTTTAACCTCTCAGGTTCCTTAGAATGTGAAGTACATATAGTCCATGAATGGGCCATGTATAGCTTCAGAAATGAATGTTTACTGAGTGTCCTACTGTTCTCAGTAACAGAAATATCATTCCTTTCAGGACCACATAGCCTCCCAAAGTGAATGGTCAAGCAAATCACTGGAAAAAAAAAGAAAAAAAGAAGTTAAATTACTGCATTAAAATATGACTTTAAAAAATTGAGACTTAGAGCAAAATTTATTCAGTTACATAAATGTGCACTGTGATGTTACACTAGAGCATGGCCAAGTCATTATGTCAGGTTATTCTATCAAAATTGATACGTATTTGGGCATGCCTTTTTCTTAATAAACTTGAGACCTTTGGCATCAACAGGGTTCATTGGGCATGGAGGACTGAATTCTGTAGTGGTCGTCACCTTTTCCATTCTGACACCAGAGGAAAGAGCAAAATGACAGTTTTTAAAACTTGACATGTATTTGTGAATGATGTGGGAAATGCCTGACACCACAGCATGTACTGTGGGAGGAGTTGGGCTGATAGAGATGCCAGTGGCTAGAAACCAAACCAGTTCCTAACCAAGCTGTCTCAGGCTTTGCTCCTCCTGCAGTGTTCATGGCTGGTCTATCTGCTGCTGTCTCTTAGTAGTTAACATTCAAAAGAGAAAAGCAAGCAGGGATAAAGAACTAGCAATTTCTGGAAAATGCTCACAGCCTGTCAGGTCTTTGGAGACAGCCATGTGCAGCCATGGTAGAAGAAAAACAAAACAGGTAGCTTGGATTAACTACACATACTAAATATATAGGATTTTTTACCCATAAGCTGGGCAAATTCTTCACTACAGAGGTCAGCATGTTAGAAGTGCTTCTTTATAGGCTTAAATATTTACTGATCCTGGAGTACATGACCCTCGTTTAACAATGTCAGATTCAGTTTTGCAAATAAAACTAACGAAGTGGTACCGTCACAGTAGATGCACACTAGGCAGTGCTAGGCAGTATGTGTTTAGGAATAGGTCCAGGGTTTTCTCTTAAGAGTTTTTCATCCCTGCTGTGCTCCTATTTCTCCAGCAGTTGTCTTAAAACCTGTGAAAATAGCAACACTTATCATGCTCGAGTAATGCTTGAAAACTCCTGTGAGTTTAAGTTCACTTGGCATTAGTGTGGCAGTCAAATGTGTTTTCATGGTGTTCTGGTTTTATTCTGCAAGGGGCTAAGGAAGACGAAATGACATTTGAACTATTGCCAAGGTTGGCACTTTCACATGATAGATTAACGTGTATTTACCCTTGTGCACACTTTACTAGAGAAAGGGTGTGTGGAGGCTGAATACTGCTCTGTTCCTAAATTAACCTCCAGTGAGATATTTTAGATGTTATATGTGTCCCTTATAGATAAAACTTTTCTTCTTAATTCAGGTCTCTTTCACCACAAATCAGTTTTACTGGCCAGTTTTACTGGCTTTTTTTGTCACAATCACACAAGTACTGAGTTTTATTAGAGGTGACAGTAAGTAGTACAGAACAGGTAGTGACAGAAAAATTGACACTTAGATACCTTAGCTCTTAGAGACAAATTACATGTTATACTCTGGCAAACATTTTCCCTTTTTGCTAGGCCAGCTTCTGGCACTGGGACTATGGATATATGCTCTGTCTGAGCATCCTGTATGAGGCCTGGCTTAGCACAACTTCTGCATTACCATTATCTCAGCTTCTGAAAGTACTTTTACATGTTCCAAAAGGCGAGGTTAAGACCAGTTATTTTCTCCTTAAAATCTCCATGTCATTTAATCCATTCTGTTGATAAACTAATATCAAATGTGATAATTTTTATGTTTTTCTTTCAGATGCAGTATTCACAAATGGACAGGGAATTGACTATTTATTTGTTGGAAACATAGTTTACACTGTAAGTTTGTGTGTCCTGGCAGTTTTTGAATGGTAGAATCCTTTAGGGCCTTTTTTACACCACCAGAAAACTGTGTAAACCTGAGGAAGGTGTGCGAGTAGAGTAAAATCAAACTGATGCTGTGTGCCTGATTTTCCCTCTTCCTTTTTCATTTTTGTCCCAGACATGCACCTAAAATAGCTTATGTCCCGTCCTTCCCTAATCCCACACTGCCAAGTTCCTGGGTTGCTAGCTACCTAAATGGTAGTAGCTTTTTAGATGTAAAGGGGAGATTGGACCAGAACACCTTTGAATTTGAGAGTGTTAGTAATCAAGTTGCCTTTTTAATTTATTTTTTTTTCCACCCTTTGCAGTATGTTGTAGTCACTGTTTGTCTGAAAGCTGGCTTGGAAACAACTGCATGGACTAGAGTAAGTACTTTGCAGTATCTTTTATTTTACTAGCCCACCTTCCTCCCTAATGAGTATTAATACAGAAAAGAAGTACTAAAAATCACTTGAGACTTCTGAGTTCTAATTGGATTTTTCATGTAGGGATAAAATGCTAAGCTCCCAAAGTACAGAATGTGAGAGGAATAAACTCAAAGATCACACGATATGTGTGATGAAAAAGGGCAACCTGACAGAAGTGGGAAGAGTACACTTAAGTGTATTGTCAACATCTCTACCTAAAAACGAGAAAATTTTGTATAAAATCAACATATCACTGTAATTACTTAAAGAAGTAGATCTGTAGCTCCTTTAAAATTAATGCAATGGGGAACAAAAGATGTCTACCCACAGATAAACAACTGGGCTTTGAAAACATCTTTGAACCAGGTAAAAAGAACTAGTGACTTCACATTGGTTGAGAGTTTTTGTTTGGAAATTTAGTGTAATAAGGATGTTAGTTAAATGCTTATGTTGATTCCTAGATTTGAGTTATTTACTTGCAATGAGTGAGGGCTCTGTTACTGGTAGGTGACAGAATTCAGCAGGACAGTGACCTCCAAAGAGTTTTGGGGGGGATAGGGGAGAGCTTCTGTGTTGATGAACCTTCAACACCTTCGTGTCCTTCTTTCCCCCAGCCCCTCTGAAACACTCATTTTTTGGTTCTGATCTAGTCAGAATCAGAAGTTTCTTCATGCCAATAAGATACTTTACTGGAATTTAGTTTTCATGATGTACAGAGAAACTCTGCTGTTTTGAGGACACAATATATCCTCATTTTATCAGTTTCTTGGAGGGACTTGACTTACATCTTGTTTCATTTCTCACAGAGGAATTAACATCAATGAGATGTTTGTTCTGAATTTTGAAGATGAAATGCTATCTGTACGAGTTATTTAATTGTTAGGGAGGTGCTAGTATTTTCTGCCTCATTCTCTCATCTGAAAATAGAATACTTTTTTTTTTTGCTGTTGCTTATGAATCAGTTCTGTGTTGTGTACCAATGTTTTAAAATGCAAAAATACTTAAAATAATCCCTCATGCTATAGAAGAGGCTATATCCAAGTCTGCATTGGAGGCAACCTGCTTAGATCCTGTTTTATTGTGAATTATTCGGTGGTTCCTCCTCTCTCCTCTTCCCTTCATAACTGGTCTTTTCATTCACTGGGGGATAATCATGATGCCCTCTATTCTAAACTTTTGTTTTAAAAGATACCGTAATGGCTAGTAGATCTCAGTGTCACTGACATTTTACAAAGAAATTATTATTAGGCACAGAAAAGTGGTTGTGTTTAGAATCAACTTTTTTCTGTATGCATTTCTAATTCCTGCCTCATTGCTTGGAAGAGTGACTCTTATCATCTTGGAATCTGATGTTGGTTATAGTTATTGTTTCAGCTGTGAGTGAATCAACACACAAAATCTTTAGGTCACTTGAAGAGTGTTAAATGTACAACATTGAGTTAAGCCTCTTCTCCATCATCAAGTGGATTGGTTACAGGCAATTTGTTCTTGAGAGTTAGAGGGAGACTGCCACTTGGGAGAACACGATGGGTTCAGTGGAAAGCTTTAAATAAATAATGCAGAGTCAAAGTGGTTGAGAACCTGGTATGTCCAGTAGGTAGTGTGGAAAGAAAGGCTTTGGAAAAGTGGTAACATGATGCATAACTAAATCTGCACATTGAAGTCATGTGGAGCAGTTTCATGTTACGTGTTACCTATTTGGAACACTGCAGTAGGCTTTTTCTAAAGCTTTCTTCACTGCTTTATCACAGTACGTGAATTGTTTCAGATAATCAGGACACATGGGAGAGCCATATACTATGTCTAGTTTTTGTGTGAGAGCCTTAGTTTCTTTCTTCTTTCTGTCATTCATTTAACTCATCTGATGGACTTGCTTCTGGTTTGCACATGAATTCTCCAGGGTTAAATGACAGAGATCAGTAAAGAATCAACAGTGAAAAGGTTGGTGGGGTGAGTGTATAAGTTACATCTTCAAGCAGGGCAAGGAGGGGCTCTTCATGAATGCAGAAGCACTTTTAAAGGTAGAGAAGCAATTTGGGCAGATATAAACTTGAGATAAAGAGATGACTGGGACAGCCGTGAGAAGAAGGTAAAGATAACATAAAATGAGCTAAGTCTGCTCAGCTGGAAAGGGTAAGGTGGAGAGCTGCAAAACTCAAAAACTGTCCTGCCAGCAGATTACAAAGAAAAACCTAAGTGAGACCAAAAAAATTATGGCATTTCATTAGCATAAATAGACCTCCTATAAAATAAGACTCTATCTTAGGTTGGTTTCTCTGCTTGATTTTACTGTTTTTAATCATAAAACCTGGGAGTCTGCAGCTTGGAAGCATAAGTCCAAGCTATCCTGAGCCTTCTATCCACTTGTCTGAGAGGAAGACTCAAGATGCCCTTTTTTGGAAAGCAGTGCTGCCATTCCATGGGACTTATTTTTCTTAATGTTGAGTTCTTGCAGAAGCCTTGCAGTACTTCAGCTTTGGGAAGCTGAGCACTACAGTTGTTCACTGGGGCAGGGCTTTTAGTCAGAATCTTGACATGAATTGACTGTAGTTTTCAGAATAGCAAGTAGACTGAAAGGATAAAATGCATCTTCTCCAAGTGTTTAAAAAAAAATAAAACCAAAAACTTCAGTCTCTGTTTTCTTCATATTAGAACTGAATCAGGCATGAGTGTAGAGGTTTTGGGGGTTTTTATTTTATTGGGGGGTTGGGTTGGGGTTTTTTTGGTTGATTGTTTTGTTTATTGCTGTCTTGTTTTTAATGAAGTAGTTGCTGATCAGATCTCTTGGATGAAACAGAATAAATAGCAAAATTTAAAAACAAATCTTCCTGTCCACTGTGTCTCTCAAGAAAGGGACCTATCCCATTAGCCCAGCAACTTCTAGGGTTGAACAAAATTTCAGCTTTCTGAGAGTGCCTAGAAGAGTGTTCTTTCCACTGCTCCTGACATTTTGCTGTATGAATGCTTCTACTGTAAGTTGGTCCCAACTATCTGCCAGTCTATACTGGTGCTGCAGACTCCTTGCTTGTTTGTTTTCACTGCCTCTGCTGGAGAAAGCTATCCTTTCCAAGGATATTAAGTGGTTCCAGAGTACGACTAATCTTCTCCATCTTGTGGAATTTTGTATCTGTCTCATAGCAGGCAGAACACAATACTCAGACACTTCTTTGGTTCTCAAACATAGTGTTCAAAAAGTAAACAGACACAGTCATCAAACAGCAAGTATAAAACTTGAGAACTGAACAAACACACTGTGTCCACCACAGCAACCAGTATGTGAATTCATTCCCATGTTCCTAAACTCATATGTAATTAGTCATTAAGATTTATGCAGGTATTCCTCTGAATTGGAGCCAAAGTCATCAGCTGCAGAAGTTGCTGGCATCCAAAAAAACTGGAGCAAATAATGAGCTCAGTTGCTTATTACAACTGAAATTACTGATTCCATCCACTGCAGTGTAAAAGTAAAACAACTTAAATCATCCTGAACAGAAAAACAGTTTGGGTGTGTAGAAAAAATTACTTTCTTTAATGCAACTGAGCTGAAATCTGTTCTGGATGTGTTCTTGGTCACTTTAAAACTACTTTTATTTTCTCTTAGTGAGTCTACAGACTAAAGAACCCGTAAATATGTAAGCTGTATTGCATATCTGTAAATCACTTAGAACACTTTTAAAACAAGAAAAGCAAAGTTGATCAGTAGATTTTAATTGTAGTAGTGTATTACATAGCACTGCATCTTCCTCCATGAAAGGTGAGTGTTGCATACAGCTTGCATGCATACACTGCCATAAGGGATTTGTCCATGTGAACTTTGACCTGAGCATTTGAAAATTTCCACCTTGATTTATGTGAATCTGACATGCAGGATGCAGGAACTAGATGAGAGAAATCAGAGTTCCAAGAAAAATCTGGTGGGTTTTTTGGAGCTCCAAATAAGATAGATTGGTTGAGAAGACTATCTGTCTGCCCTGTTTTGAGGCAGAGATTAAAGAGAGCTGCTTTATGATGTTTGAACAACCTGTGCCACTGACCTGAAACCAAGGGCAGTAGACAGGCCTGAGTGAGACCAACAGAGACCTGAACAGGGAAACACTTGTAGGTTGGATGAATGGAGGAAGTGCCCTGTGCTGACTCTCCTTTCCCTGTTGCTTGACAGTTCAGTCACCTGGCCGTCTGGGGAAGCATGCTGCTCTGGCTCGTGTTCTTCGGTGTCTACTCAGCCATCTGGCCCACGTTTCCCATCGCGCCAGACATGCTGGGGCAGGTCAGTATGAAGCTTTGGCTGTGTGGGGAGCTGCCCAGCACAGCACCTGCCCTGGGCACTCACACAATGCTTGGAAGGGAGTTGTGCTCTAATGAAAGTGCTTGTACTTCTTTTTAACCTTTTCTTAATCCCTGCATTCATTTAGCCTAATCTCCTCATTAGAAGAGCTCTCTTTCTCCCCAAAAGTGACATCATACATGAGTACATGCACTGGGGATACTATACAACAACTATCAGTTCATATCAATAGCAGTGAGACTGACTCTTTCAGTCTTTGTGCCTTCCTGGTAAGATTTTGTGTGTTTAACTAAATACCATATTTATTTTGGGTGGGGTTTTTTATCACGGGTTTTTTCTTTTCCATATGTTTTGCTTTCATATTGTTCTGGCTTTCCTTCATTAATTTAAAGTAAATTGAATTTTCTTGAAAATTGGATGAGATGGTCTGAAGCAGAAGGGAACCTGCGATGTTACCGATCCTTTTCTATTACTAGAGGAATTTTGGATTTGTTCCTTCTGTGTCACCTGAGTTTCAAGTGGTGAAATTTTTGCACTGGTGTTACTATTTCAACTCATGGTGACAAAACCGAGTCGCAAGCCTGTCAAAATCACTCAAGAGCCTCATGCATATTTAAGATAGGGAGCTACCATAAACAATTAAGGACTTAATGAATGTATGATAAAATGTTACTCTGTAGAAGTGGAACTGCTTTCAAAATTACCAGCAAAATGTATTTTGTAGTAAGTTTCCTCTTTAATGGAAAGATGGTGTTTATGATACAGAAAGAAGAAAAGCAAACTAATAATTTTAACAAATTAGCTAAATATGCTTAGATTGCCACCCTTGTGTACTAGAAAACAATGATTAAAAAGTCAAGTGGTGGTAAGTCACTTAGAGATTTTTGAGGTTACTCCTGTGAGTTTGTATTCAACAAGAGCAGTCAGGCATTATTTTTTTTGCTGGTTCTGGCTTAATACATATTTTATTATCATGTGCCAAAACACTGAGGATAATGGAGGCTATGGTAGATTTTCAGCAGCTTTTTACAACAGAGACAGACAGCTGACAGGCTGGGATCAGCAAGTAATTGACTGACAGACAAAGCCGCAGTCCTCTGATTGTATTTCATGGTGATCTTTGTGTGTTTCACAGCAGATACAGTATCAGTAACTCTAATTCACGTTTTCATATATTGGGCAGAAATTTGACATCAGTAACATGCAGAGCCATGAATGACTTGTCCTCCACAGCAGACTTGTACTGCTGCCACTAACATATCAACCTTCTAAAATACAAACAATATGGTGAGCTGTTGCTTTATACAAGAAGGGTCAGAATATTGGCTTTAACTTGGTGTTTCCTTCCCCCCCCCAAAGTAACTCTCTTTGTTGTTATTGTAACTTAAACAAAATTCATACTGTGTTGGTCATCAACCACAGGCCTTGGAACAAAAGCTTCATGTTAATAAGGCTTTGTTTTTTCTTGTATGTTTTTAGAAAGTGTTTCTATTTAACCTTTGGTTTTATGCTCTGATTTTTTGACACTGACTTGAGAAGTGGTGCTAATATCTTGCCAAGATGAAAATAATGTAATGTACTTATTTTAAATGAAGAACACATTTACTTTAATTGATAAAGTGTCTGCCCCAGTATTTGACAAGCTGTGCCCCTGGGTCAGTAATTATCAATCAAAAATGTTAAGAATAGGTCATCATTCTGCAAAGATGCTTTTTGAATTCAAGCTGTCTGTTGTATGGCTTTCAGTGTGTGTTGGGGGGATCAATATCAGTTTTCTTGTATCTATATCTACCAGCTTTATTGTATTTTTGAGAGAAGGAGCAGTGGTGGAAGAACGTGGAGTTTTTTGTTTCTTTTATCCTTCTGTAAAATCAGAGGAAGGTCCCAAGGTAAAGGGAGCTTGTTTACCACTTGCATTAACTCGCACAAAGTCTCTCGAGTAATCAGTTGCTGTCACAAAACCAGTTCACGGTGAAATGAGCTAGGACTGTGCTAGGCTCTAGTCTGTAAAATTAGTCACGTTGCTGCTTCCCAGATTTAAGCAATTCCTTTACCCTTGCTATCTTCTTCATTTATAAGTAAGCAAGGTATTTTAAAAGCTTTGATTTTGTTTTAAATCTTGCCAAAAAAAGTGTGTTTATCTTCACATAAAATGAACTCCAGAATATCTTAGATCCTCATAGTATGCAAATCCAGTAGTACTCAGAGTGAGCTGATTTTAACTGTAATACTCATGAAGCATTTGGGCCAGCCAGGAGTTTGTGCCATCAGTAGGAGGCATAGGAGGTGCAAAACATTTTGTTCTGTCCATTCTCCAAATGTCAGAATGGAACTTAAGCAGACTTTTAAATATGTGAAAAGATGCTTTTTCCGTAGTTATGACTTACCACCACAGATTGTTGAAAACAGGTGTGTTTTTAAGAAGTGCTACCTATTTTGATACTCATTAATTATAAGAGGTGGTACAAAAATGTACTGATCTAAGGATGTGAGTGCCTTTTTAATGATAGTTTTCATGACCTTTTGGGGCTTGTAGCTCATAACCCAGTGGTATTTTGTTGACTAGCATATTAGCTATAGTTCTGCCCTCTTGCAATCTTGACTATTCTGTTGTTTGCCTGGGAGTGGGGATTTGGTGTCCTGAAGGGAACAGTGAATGCTAACACTTGTGCTTGTTTCTTGTGTATGTCATACACATAGTGTGTGATATATGCTGCTCATACTCTGTTGTATGGATTTCTTCATTGGAATTGAAGCATACTTTTGGTTTACGGGAATAATATTGCACTCTATGGGATCAAAGTCTGTGTGTAGGTATTTCCACCCACACACATACCTAAACACCTGTACCTGAAAGTGTGTACAGGAAGGAGGATGTTATGACAGTGATTATGCTTTGAGTCTTGATCTAGACGTTATTTGAGATGAAGAAAAACAGATTTCTTCATTCCCTGCCTTGAGCTGAAATTTTTAGTGTTTTAGGGGGAGAGGGGTTGGCAGGGAAGGGATGTTGCCATCACCCCTCTGAAGCATCTGCTGTTGTTGATGATTAAAGGACTACTTCTTAGATGTGATTTTGTTTTTTTACCATTTATTTACCTTCATATAAGTGTTGTGTTTTGTGTCTGCCTCATTAGTTGTTGTTACCGTAAAGGCAATGTCTTTAGGATGATGAGTATCAGTCTCATTCCCCCTCTGCCGGGAGGAAAGGGGGTAAAACAGTGGGGGTTTTAATCTGGTTTTGAAAGGGTTGTTATTGTTGTTATTCTATAATACAGGTTAACATTCCTAATTTTTTTGATGTTTGCTGTATATGATCATATCAGAACTGAGGTTTAAGAATCGTTTTGAGTTGGAAACCCATTATCTTGATCTCAGGATGTCAGGAAGCCCATCTCATCAAAACATCGTGGCTGGAAACAGCTCTATGTAAGAACCACTTTCATAGCTGTAATGGCAGGTGTGCTTCTATTTCCTAGTGTTCTTCACATCCTAGACAGAAGGTATTTCTTGATTTTCCAGCTGAACTGTCAAATTCTTGATAGGTAATTTGTCTGCTTATGAAGACTTTTAAAGAAGCTGTGCATGAGTTTTACCTGGATTAAAGGTGATTTTTTAAAAGATCCCAGTAATGGAAGATCCCATGTAATGTGACAGTAGCAGGACTTGCTTGTATGAATGGTTTGTTAAGAAAACATTTATCCCTTCTTTAGCAAAACTTCCCATTCCTCTGTGTGTATGGCATTAGCAAGACAAGTTTGCCTTGACTAGTGCACTGTTGTTGGCTTTTGAGAGACGGAGGTGATGTAGATGTGATGGACTCTGGTTGCATAGTTGGTTTTGTAGTTGGCCTTCAGTCTGAAGCTCTCTAAAATCTTTCTGGTTGAGTTCTTACTAAAGCGTGTGTGAACTTTATATGGGTTACTAGACTTGGAAACAACAAAAAAATAAAACCAAAAAAATCCAGAAGGCGAAATAATCATTATTGCAGTGTAATAAACAGGTTTCACATTACTACTCTTTCAAATCCACACTGCAAAACTGACAGCTTAATGTACATTTTCATGTTTTCCAGAACACTTTTGTCTTTCTCTCTACATTTGAATCTTTTTCCAGAGGTCTCAGTTGTTGTTCTCTCTGGCTTCTCTTATTTCTGCAGTTTGGTGCTAGTTAGAAAATTGGCCGTTCTGATCGTGGTTTGTTTGTCTGCAATTGGTTGCACATTACATTGTGGTGTCAGTGTTTTGGTTGGTGAAAATGCTTCATCCAGCTGTTACGCGCAAATCAGACTTGGCCTGCAGATCGAGGTCCTTAATGCCTGCTGATCGTGTTTGTTTTTATTATTATGCACAGAGGTCTCCGTGGCACTTGATGTGGTTTTGGAACTTTTTCTGCAGTTTTGGACTAGGCTCTGAGCAGACAAATTAGGCTAACGAAGCATGCATATATTTTTAAGCATCTGTTGAAGGAGTGGGTTTGTTGTTTTTATGAGCCACACATGGCTTTCAGAAATTAATCTCTCACTTCTAGATCTCTGGCATGGTCTTCTACTATGTCGTACACCACAAAGATGAAAAAATTGAGATAAATGAATATTTTAATAAACCCTGAATGTGAAACTAATAGATTAAGCATGCTTATTTTCTGGAGGCAAATCCCCCAAAACACGCCCCCTTACCTATTTGGCAGCTCTGCAGCAAATCTCTCCTAAATATTTCTAAAAGATGTCCAGACTTAATTTTTCCTTAGGAAATATTTTGTGAAGGCTTTAAAACAGGACTGTATAGGTAGCTGAGTCCAGCACTGTGCTGGCATTTCCTATCTAGAAGCCATGTGAAAATAAGATTAAACCATGATTGTAAATACTCATTTTGGTTTGGGAACTGGCAGTGCAGAGCAAGGCGGTCAGCTGGCCTTTAAACTTCTCTGAAGTCTTCATGTGCTTACCTCAAGATTTCAGTTTTGATTCCTGTGCTGCAAAA